GAGAGTCTTGATACAATCTGCACACAATCTGACATAAAAAAAAATTTTAAACCTTTTTTTTTGTATGTGTGGAACTGGGGTAAAAATCTTCTTAAAAATCTTTTTAATTTATTTGGTACAGGGTCTTGCTATGCAATTTGGACTCATAGTAATCCTCCTGTCTCAGCCTCCCCAGCTCTAGGATTACAGGTGTGTGCCACCATGCCCAGTTTCAGTGGCCAGCATGGCACACCCAGGGTTCTGGGACCAGCACAGCATGCGATATCAGGGATTGAACTCTTGTCCCTGTGCTTGCCAGGCAGGAGCTTAGACTGCCAAGATATCTCCCCAACCTTGACAGAAAATCGTTTAAAGGGGCTTTGCTTCCTTTGTTTTTCCCAGGGAAAGTGTAATAGTATGATCATAGACACAAAATACAAAACACAGAGGCTTCCAAGTTTCCTGGAAGTGAACCACACTGATTTATAGGTAAGACAGTGGGGCCCACCCAGAGGGGAAGGTTTGCTCAAGGCCATGGAGGAAGTGGGGGTGAGCCCTGTCTCCCAAGGCCTCCCATCTTCAAGGCCCACAAGAGATACTGAGCAAGAGCCTGCGCTGCCTCAATCACCAACATCCCCCAGGCTCCTCAATTAGTGGGCTGCTGGGCTGGTCAGGGAGGGCTCAGGGTGCAGGAGACCCACTTTGCCTTTGACACTGAGGACCAAAAGCTGAAAGGGCCATCTGCTATGGTCAATTTGCCCAATTGTGTCAACAGGCAAGAGAAACAGCACAAAGTAAAAGTAATAGTCTGTGCCTTCTCCTACAAAACAGCCATTTTATCACTTGTAGCAGTAGTCATCTTCCTTGGAACCAGTCTTTGTCCTCTATAGTGGCTTCATGTCCAGCTGTCTGGCTGGGTTCACACCCAGACTTGTCCCCAGATCTGTCAAACTCAAGCTGTGAATCTACCATGTATCCTTCACATCTGCTCTAGGACTGGCTTGCTGCCCCACTGCCAGAGTCTGTGAGACCTCTTCTTGGTCCCAGCCAACAAGACCTGCCTCAGTGCCCCAGCCACTCCACTCGGGGACCAGCTACTCCACTGAGGGAGAGACAAGTGAGTCAACAACCATCTAAGGCTCTTTGCTTTGGCAAAGCCAGCAATCTCCATATGATTAAAAGCATAGTGTGCTCCCAAGCTCTTCTGATTCACTACCCTAGGTTTGACTATGAGAGATAGGAAAGAGGAGCTCCTAGGGTTCTAAAACTGTAATCCAACTCAGTTTGAATAGCCAGAACCCACTCCTCTGATACTCAGTCAAGGGGGGTTGAGATTAACACCTGACTTAGGGCCACCTTCAGGTATGTGAAAAGAAGATTTCTATACAAAGACTATCTGCAGCAGAAATGTTCTGTCTTTACTCTTTACCCCCATTCTATAGCAGTGGCTCTCAGCAGGGGCCACTTCTAATATCTAGTGACATTTCTGGTTGTCAGGATTGGGAGTTGCTACTGACACCTCATGGGAATAGGCATGGATGCCATGAACACCTTACAGCACACAGAACTGCTCACAAGAACAGGGAATTCAGTCCCAAGGGTCAGCAGTGTTGTGGCTGGGAATTCTGTGTGAGACACCAGCAAGCAGCAGATTGATCTGCTCCCCTCCTGGGACGACGGCAGCAAACAGTGAAATACCTCACTGATGTGCTGAAGGCAGGTCCTAAGTAACCACAAACTGACTTACCAAAGGGAGTCACTTACTCCTGCTTTGGGCTCACGAAAAATATAAGAGATGGCAATGTGGCTAATCCTTGAATAGACAGAAGGGTGACAAGACCATTCTCTGCTTCTGTCTCCCATTATAGGGTGGGTAGCTGTGGAAAGGAGGCATACACATCTAATAGCTAAAGACAGCACCCCCTCCTCTACAGGCTGAGTCAGGAAGACCAAACTGCTCATACAGCAAACATGACTGTCCTTGAGGAGCTCCTCATCCAATGGGAACATCTAACAATAAACAATCACCAAATACCACTCTAGGCTAGGCTGACCCAACTTTCATTTTCCTTTAACAGTCCTGGGAAGGGTAAAAAACAATAAAGTGCAAATAAAGCACTGGTGCTGCAATGCTGATTAAAATCTGTATTGCTATGGCAGCCCCTCTGAGACAGGATCAGTGCCTGGATTTGCACCAGCTGGGCTTGTGCAGCTTGTAAATAATTAAAAGGTAATTGGAAGGGGAGACCAAAGTATTAAGTGGATTTCTCTCTCTCAGGGAAACTAGGGAGTTTTCATTGCTGCCAGTCACATTGTCTTTCAGGATTATACTCTTGTATTTTAGCTCCTTGTTGATAACCGTTGGTGGAGTAAACTAATTAGGGCTGCTAAAACTGCAGCCTAGAGATAGGGAGCACCAATTCAAAACTTTCCGTTGTCTTGCTGTTAGTAAAGCCTTGCTGCTACCAAAAAGGCAAGGCAATAGGTTTTGGAAGGAAAGAGAGGAAAGGTGGGCTGGGGAGATAGCTCTATAGAATAAGCGCTTGCCTGGCAAGCACAAGGGCCCAAGTTCAGTCCCTGGTTTCCACCAAAAAAAGAAAAGAGGGAGAGAAAAGGGGACCAGAGGAAGAGACAGATCAAGCCATTGAGAGCACCAAAGGATGCTCAGAATATTTACCTGCAGGGACTGCCATTATAGCTTAGCCTAGGACAGATACAATTTCATTCCCTGGTCTCAATAAAGCCACCGACACAGATCCCAAGGGAAGTGTGATCAGGCATCAGCAGGGAGGAGAGTGGTGGAAGTAGCACTCTCTCCTGCTGTTTCCTAAGGGGGATGAAGGTGGAACCACTGGACAACTAAGGACCTTTTAAGAGGGTAGGGTTGGCTGGATGGGAGATCAAGCCAGCAATTTGCATCCCTGAGCTCTATACTCAGTCACACCAGGATCCAGGGTGGTGATGGCTACAAGTAGCAGTGAGGGGAGGGACAGGAAAGGAGGGCAGAGAATCGGGAGGGGGAATTATAAAGCACATGCCACATATCCTGCAGTTAAACTGTAGGGATGTTCCAGACAAGTTAGTGGATGCAAAAATAAAAAAAAAAAATGGATAAAAGTCAAAATGGACTTTCTTCCCCACTGAAGCATTTGAGTCCAAAATATACGTGGAGTCTCTATTCTTTCACTACCGTCCTTGGTCTCTGTGAGACTAGACATACCAATATTAACCCCAGATACTACTCTAACTAGAGCCCAATGCACTTATTTTTTTTTTTTCATATTCAAAGGCTTTATTTCAATTGTTAAAGAAATATGAAGGACAGGAACCAGAGGGAAGCACTTGGTAAACCAGGTGACTGAAGAGAGGAAAATGTTTCCCTGATCTTTTGTCTGCAGGATCTTTCCTGTACACATCATTTCTTCTTCCAGAGGCTCTATTTTGTAGATATTATTATGATACAGTAGAGACTTAAGTGGCTAAAAAATGAAACACTCAAACAAATTTGGTATCCTGATACATATTAAAGGAAAATCAAAGGTCCTGCCCAAGATGCCACAGCTGGCACCTGGCACCAGGAAATCCCAGGGGCAATTTTGTGAATTTGGGACCTTAAAATGTTTTCTATTGTTGCTCTGGCTCTGCCTGTCCTTCTCTGTGTTAGTAGACAGCTGGTGGAGTGATGTCATGGCGCCAGCAGTTTCTCACAGATTGTCAACACTTAGAAATTAATAACCAGCACAGTTGCCACCTTGCTGTTTGCGCACTGACCCTGGAGGGTGGAGCCCAAGAGCACCCAAAGGGTGGTTAATTTTTTTCTTTTTTTAAATTAATTTTTTAAAGAAATAGCAGTGAGACAGCTGCAAAACAGGTTAACAGGACAGATGGAATAATCAGTATATTATATATTATTGTCTTTGTAGTAGTTATTCGTAATACAAGACGCAGACATGATATCTTGTCTAAACACCATCAGTACAAATCTTTCTTCTCATTGAACTAAGAGAAATTAGCTGCATATCTATGTTGTATATTCAGATATATATATATATTTTCTGGTTTTGTTTCTTTTTTTTTTTTTGTAGGGGGGATTTGGCGGTACTGAGGATTGAACTCAGGACCTTATACTTGCCAGGCAAGCACTTATTCTACTGAGCTATCTCCCCAACCCCCTCCCCCTTTTTTTTTTTCACTACAAAATGGACCTTCAGTTATATCAAGCATTTTGTTTAGTTTTGTCAGAAATGGGTGATTCTTTGCCAGTTAAATATTGTAGGTGTGAGACATCAGTAAAAGAATCCGATATAGTCCAATTGTCCATAATAGTAGTGGGTTATCCGTGGAACTGGCAATGTCAGAAGTTCTTAACGTGAGCCTTTTACAGCTCAGCATATTAATATGGCTTTATGTTTTAAGCTTTGTGTTTATACTTTTCTGCAGGATGGTCAAGAACAAGAGGAAGCACGACCTATGTATAAAAAACGTAATGTTTGGACATAACAAGGTCAGTCAAATCCCTCAGGATTTACCCTTATACCCTGTAAGGGAGTTTCTAGATCTTTTGTCAGTGTCAGCCATGTGGATGAGTCACATCCATTGCTTGACCAATTTGCTCTCTGTGAGAGTCTGAGAGAATATTTTCTCTCCATGTGACACTCCTTAGGCACACTATACGTCATGGATCACTTTCATCTGCAGCCTCATAATCTCCTGGCCTGGGCTAGGACTGGGTCTCCAATGCACTTATAAGACTAAGAAAAAAGCATGTTTGAATCTGAAATTATTCTAGATGCCAGTTCATTAGAAGAGACACAAAAATAAGGCAGGGCCAAATGGAGATCATCAGTCTATTCATTTTTTTTCCCCAAAGTGTTCTCTGCCCTCTCTGGTGTGACTGTCACTTATTCAGATAAATTCAGAATATAATCAACAGTAAATACCTCTCATCCTGAGAATGGATAGCAATACTGACACACAATAAATAGGCATTCAATACATAAAGATAAGGAAAGCACACTCACCCCTTTTCTGCATAAAGATGAAGAGGTCATCCAGGAACTCTTTCCTTTCAGGATCACTGTCTAGTTCATATAGCTGAAATCCCCACCCCAAGGAGAAAACACAATGAAACATTCCACTTTGGCACAGGAAGTCTTATACCCAAGATACTATAGCCACAGGAATAAGGACAACCCACTGCAGAACTGTCCCTATCTTCATCCCAAAAGATGTATTACAGACCTTGGCAAAATCTCGAGAGATCTCTCTTCCCCGGCCTCCGTCAGCATCATCACTCCAGGCCAAACCACCATTCTGCAGAAGAACAAGATATAAGGTTGAAAGAGGAATAAGGAAGAAAATGAGCAAAGGACAGGGCAGTCATCTGCAGGCTGTGAAGACCCTAAGCGGTTGTGCTTGGAAACTGTTAACTAACTACTCCTAGCCCCTTCCAGGGACTTGTTTTTTGCTTTCATTATGGTTCCAAAATAAGGGGGAGTTAGGCAGAAGAATCATATCTATTTCCCAAAAGGTGGGCAGGTATTACTCACACTCAATGCTGTAAGAGGGGGCCCAGGCCCAGTGTCCTGAGAAATCTCTCACCCCCAGCTCATCTTCAGAGGCTATCACTCTGAGCCATACTGTGACATGGGGAGAAGAGGCTACACAAGGTTTTTCTTTTTTTTTTTTTTGCGGTACTGGGGATTGAACTCAGGACCCTGTGCTTGCCAGACGAGCACTTAATTCTACTGAGGTATCTCCCTGGCCCCTACACAGGTTTCTTGCATGCTACCTCGAGATGGCATAAAGGCCAAAGGGAGTAGGCAAAGATGTTGAAGTTGGAGCTTGTCTGCCACTATCTAGGAGTCCTAAGCCTAGCAAAGAGAAGGCTTTACTGAGATGAGGGCTACCACACCTAAGACTGCTCAGCCCTAAGGCACGGACAGTACCTTAGATCATTTTCATAGGGAAATAATAACAACCTATAACTGCTTTAATTGATTAGGTTAAATCAACAGCATTCACTGAACAAGAGGGGAAGGACAAACAAGTCTATTATTTAATCTTGAAAGTTTAACAGAGTACTTTATAGAGTATTCTGTCATCCCCACCATCAGGAGAGCTCTTTGCCTGGCACATAATTAATGGGTTAGCTGAGCCAACTAAATATCTATTCACAAAGCACAGATATGCATGTCATGCAGGAGAGCTGGCAGGGTGCATGGAATCTTAGTGTAACTCTGTTGCTTATCCCTAACCTCTATCTAGGCCAGCAGAGGGCCTTGTGCACGCAAATGGAAGCCCTGAGCCTGTCAACCATGTCCCCAAGCTAGCTATGGTATATAAGTGGTAGGAGAGGGGCAGGTGGACTAGAAAAAACTAAGAGTATTCTTTGGACTGTGTAGGAAGCATGTTCTAAAGCTATGTCAAGGGCTGGTGAGATAGCTCAGCAGACTAAGTATCTACTTAGGCAAGCACAGGGACCAGGGTTCAGTCCCTGGCACCACATGCCACATTGGCCCCACCCCCAGGTGCACTGAGCTGGCCACCAAGACCAGGCATTGTGGTGCATGCCTGTAATCCCAGCTGGGGAGGCTGAAAACAGAAGGATCACCATGAGTCCAAGCTGAATGTGATCCTGTACCAAATATGTTAAAAAAAGAAAAGTTTAAAAAAATAATAAAATAAAAAAATAAAAATAAAAGTTAAAGCCATGTCGAAACTGGGATTATAGGGCTGGAGAGATGGCTCAGTGGTCTAAGGCACCTACTTAGAACAAGCTTGGCAAAGCATCAGGGACCGCGGTTCAATCCCCCAGCACCACAT